CTGCATGCACGCGATGCCGACCACCATTTTCGTGCACGAGGCAATCCAGTAGACGCTGTCCAGGGTCATGGGCTCCGAGGAGGCGACGCCCCGGGTGCCGGCAGCGTGGGCGAATTGTTCGGTGCCGGTGCGGTCGATGACGACTACGGTCGTTCCGGGGATGCCGCTGGGAGAGGCTGTGACGGCATTTTCCACGATGCCTTTGATTTCGTTGACTGCTTGTGATGAGAGAGGCATTTTGAATCCGAGTGTGAGTCTTTGTATGAAAAGTGAGTTTCCGTGGTGCGAGTGAGATGGCGTGTGAAGATAAATGAGATGAACGGCTCATGTGAGGAAGGAGAGGTGTGTGTGTGTGTGTGTGTGAGTGAGTTCAGATTTCACAGCAGACGCATCAGAGGATCACAGAGATAATCAATTCGGCCGAGCTTCGTCTTGGCAATCTGCGCCTATCCTTTTCCAAGCAGTCATGTCGGTGCGGTAGCATTAAATACGGGACCCGTCGTCTCAGCTGCAGGCCCAAAGAAGAACGCGACGCACGCAAGTTGACGAAATAGATGCAAACCTTAGTACTTTAGTCATTTGAACCGCGTCGAACCTCGGCCCACCACCACCACCAATACGCACTTTGAATCTTGCCGAGAATAGCTGAACCAGCACCAGTGGATTAGAACTTTGGACGGCACCCATTCCGGACTTAGGTCAGATCAACTTCTCCAAGTTGATTCGTCTCAAGACATGGACCATCCCTTCCCTCCCCACGATGTGAACCTGAGAGTTTGCCCTTCCCCGCAAAGCGGTTGTGAGAACAGCACACAGTAGTGTCACGGCAGTTGCGGATCCGCTTCACGGCCGCAGCGGCTCTCCGCATTTCACTGTGACATCCCATTTTGTCTGAATCCTCTTCCATCCAGTATCCGCCCATCGCCTTGCCTGCAGGGCGGATCCGCAGCGGCTCCTCCCCTCGACTCGTCTCCTCCTTCGATATGCTGCGGGGATGCAGACGCGACGGCGAGGCTGGTGTTTGAGGCAAAAGATATGCGGACTTCGACATGTTTTGCTGCATGTCTGAGGTGAGTGCAACCTCGCCGGGTGATGCGGGATAGAGAACATCTGCTGCGGCCTCATGCGTCCAACGTTGCTTTGAAGGCCTCGGGGTCTGCGGCCTCTACGGGCGATAGCAGCATCTTTGATGGGGATATCGATGCAATGCCACGAATGCGGGCAGATGTTCGTGCGGAGAATGTAACTGCGGTTGCCTCTTCCAAGGTATCCGTACATGAAGTTGGAGTACCGTGTCCCCATGGAGATGCTTCTGGGGATACCCGTTGCAGTCGTCTGATGTCACGTAAAGCAACACGTCTCATGCGAAACGAACTGGATAAGGTAGACTTCAGTATGTCGTCACACGAGGCTATAAGAAGCATTGAGCTCCCTCGACTCTGTGTGAAATCTGGAGAAATTGGACGAAAGAACAGTATTCGTCGTCCTTAACTCCCATTATATCATTATCATCATCGTTTGACATTTACTTCTGAGAATTCGATATTGCAAATTCCAGACATGGCTACGATTACAGCTACCCAGCAAAAGAAATTTGCGACCGATCTGACGGACTATGCCAAGCGTCGTCGGACGGACGGGCCCTACGCCGATAACCTCGATGTAGATGTTCTCATCGTAGGCGGTGGATTCGGTGAGCTATCAAACCGCAAATCTTACTCGAATCATCCTCAAAGACTAATATGGTTATCAAAGGCGGGGTTTTTATGCTAAAGACCCTCCGGGAGATGGGACTGCGGGCCGTCATCTACGAAGCCGGAACCTCGTTCGGAGGAACTTGGCGCTGGAACCGCTACCCTGGTGCCCGGGTCGACTCAGAGGTCCCAGAGTATGAGTTCTCGTGGCCCGAGGTGTTCAAGGACTGGACGTGGTCGACCAACTACCCCAACTACCAGGAGCTTCGTCAGTACTTTGATCACGTTGACAAGGTCAGTCACCACAAGACAATTCAAAGGGATACACTTGAACAAAAGCTAACACGGAAGTCACGCAGGTCCTGGATCTTTCCAAAGACTGCTCATTCGATACCGTCGTCACTGGCGCCCAATTCCAACCAGACGAAGGCAAATGGCACGTAAAGACCGCCGACGGCCGCCTAGCAAAGAGCAAGTACTTTGTCGTCGCAGCCGGCTTCGTAAGTCAACAAACCCCCTCTCACTCCTCATTCTGCCGTAAAACTCACCACCAAGGACCTAGGCCTCAAAACGCTACATCCCCAACTGGCCCGGCGTCGAAAAGTTCAAAGGCGTAGTCCACCACTCCTCCTTCTGGCCCGAAGAAAACGTCCCCGTCCGCGGCAAGCGCTGCGCCGTCATCGGCACCGGCGCCTCGGGCGTCCAAATCTCCCAAGAATGGGGCAAAGCTGTCGGCGAGAGCGGCGAGCTCAAAGTCATCCAGCGCACGCCGAACCTGGCGGTGCCGATGGGCAAGCGCAACCTCACGGCGCAGGAGCAGAACATCGCCAAGGACTGGTACCCGCGCCTCTACCAGCTGCGCGAGAAGTGCTTCGGCGGCTTCTTCTATGGCATGGTGGAGCGCAACACCTTTGACGACTCGCCCGAGGAGCGGGAGGCGTTCTATCGGCAGCTGTGGGAGCACGGCGGGTTCCGGTTCTGGTTGGGAAATTACAAGGATATGTTATTCGATGCGGATGCGAATAAGGAGGCATACGACTTTTGGGCGAGGAATGTGCGGACCCGGATTGGGGATGCGAGGAAGAGGGATATTTTGGCGCCAAAGGTGGACAAAATGCCGCATTTCTTTGGCGTCAAGAGGCCTTGCTTGGAGCAGAATTACTATGAGCAGTTCAACAAGGCCAATGTGGACGTTGTCGACATTAGCAAGAACGAGATTGACAGCTTCACGGAAACGGGCATCAGGTTGAAGGACGGGACGACGTACGACTTTGATGTGGTTGCCATAGCCACTGGTTTCGTAAGTCTTCTCCTCTTTCATCTGCGGAGGCAAGGGGTCGGAATCTTGTGCCAGTGTCTTCGAACGCGGCAAAGCATAATACGGAGCACCTTAGCACCCCATCCTTTCCCTGCGTACGTAACGTTGCAGACCTCGTTAAAAGCTAACACAAACCCTTCCCCAGGATATCACCACCGGAGGCATGACAAACATGGGCCTAAAGAGCATCAACAACACCTACCTCCAAGACGAGTGGAAGGCCGCGGCAAACACCTACCTCGGCACCACCGTCAGCGGCTACCCCAATATGTTCCACATGTACGGCCCCCACGGTCCCACGCTGCTGAGCAACGGGCCCTCGACGGTCGAGGTCCAGGGCCGCTGGATCGCCGACTGCATCCGCAAGATTGAGCGGGAGAGTATCAAGTACGTCAACCCGACGGCGGACGCGACCAAGGCGTGGAAGCAGCGGATCAACGAGTTGAGCGACGCGAGCTTGTTCCCGACGACGCGGTCAACGTATATGGGTGGGTCGATGCCGGGTAAGGCGTTTGAGCAGGTCAACTTTGCGGGCGGGATTCCGCAGTATGCCAAAGAGATTCGGGAGAAGTTGGATGGGTGGACTGGGTTTGATGTTGTCAAGGATACGCGGGATAAGAGCAGGATTTGAGTTGGTGGAGACCGGTTTCCGTTGATTTAGTCGCGAGGTTTTCATCGTAGTAATTATGTCTAAATCTCTCGTTGTGATCTTCATGAAACACAATTGCTGGGAATACCATGGACATTTTCCATTGAATTGAAATTTGTCATTAGATGCCAAATGTTGGACCGCTAGAGCATAGAGGCTGCGTAATACAAATCGGCCTGACAAAGATTTGTCCAACAGTGATAGCGATTCCGATCAAAGGAATTCCAAGTAAATCTTTCGGTGCAGAGTTCTCGTTCAAATGCAATGAGACACATGAATGGTAGTAACATACCTTACCTTAGCCTATGCCGAGTAGTCTTCTTCTATTTGCTGCACTCGCATGTGGTGATAAAGGTTATCTGGTAGCTCAACTGGGGGGCCAAATAGAACGCGCAGAAGCTCAATGCCACAAAGGACTTATGGCATGTACTCCTATTGAGTTACCTTTCATGGCAAACTTTTATCATCAAAATACCATGCCACATTATGTCTTTTCGAGGGCAGTCAGGCAAGAGAGCAGGAGAATCAAAAGGCTGAAGGTCACGTTGCAAGCTCTGAACCACCTGCCAGAGATATGTGAACCTTCTCTATCTGTGATGCAACTTAAAGAGCACTGATATAAACCCAGAACCATTTACCCTTGGTGGGTCTCACATTCCGGCAATGGTGGTCTTCTTTAATTACCCGATATGGATGAAGGCGGTGAACGAAACGTGAATTATCATGCTCAAATTCACCCGTCGCTTGAGCTCCTTCCTCGACTGAAGAACAGGTCTGTGGTATATTCATCCACCTCATCCTTTGTATTCGTCTTAGCCGAGGCCTCAAATTCTTCTCGCACAGCAATCAAGCTGGAGGAAATACAATTTGTTTCTTTCTTCTATTCTCACTCTATCACCTCCCTCTCCCCTCCTCCCCTCAACACCAACCCAACCCATCGCGACTTGCCAAACACTTGCGATCTACGAAATCCCCCAAACCTCACTCCCGTCCTCTGCCATTCAGTCATTTGCCTTCAATCCCACTGCCAGTACGTTTTCATTAAGCTCGACAACTCTTTAATCTTCATCTAACGTCATCTACAGTGAGGATGGCCGCCGCCCGGCTCCATTGGGCTCCCGGAGTCCTTTGGGCTTTGCTTCTGTTCCAGTTGCTCGCCCTTACCTTCGCCCGTAAGTTTCATCAATTATTCCGTCATTTCTCTTTGATACTTGAAGGTGCTCACTCTTGACGATGAATGATGAGCTGACAATATTTTGCAGAATCCGTCCCGACCATCACCTCCGCTTTCGAGTGTGCCTGTGAGAGCTTCACGCCCGGCACCGCCACGCTCAAGTTTAATAATGGATCTTCCTCTGTCTGCCCTTGTGCTTGTGGAAAGACCACTTGGGTTCCAACCACGTACACTGAGGTCTATACTCTCTACGATTCCACGAATTCTGATGGCCCGATTGTCACCGCTCCCTCTGCTACGATGTCCGATTCTTCCGCTCTCAGCGGCTTCTTCAGCAGCATCGCCTCGTCTGTCCGAAACTTTACGACGTCAATCAATGGCACCGGCATTGTCTCGTCGTCTTGGTCTCACTTGTTCCCTAGTCACAATGTGACAAGTGTCCAGCATACGACTACGGCGTCTGGCATCTTCTGGACTGGACCAGGTAGCGGTATTGGTGGAACTTTCACATCTCAGACCGTTATCTGGAAGAACTCAACCACGAGCTCTCTGCTGTCGCCGATCAGAACCAGCAGTATTCCTCTCTGGGCCAACTCCACCACGACGACCCTCATATCTGGTAGCTTATTCTCTTCCAATACCTCAGTTCCTTCGAGATCTACCATGACGACCCTCAACTCTGGAGGCTTTCAATCTGCCAACAGTTCGGTCTCTGTGAGCGTCTCAAAGTCGTCTGTTCAATCCAAGCTTTCAGTCTCCCCATCCTCTGTGATCGGTTCGGGAACCACAACTCCTGTCCAAGTCAGCACCACCGTTCCCCCTGCCTCGCCCATTGCCTCGAGCACTCTTCCATCCCAGACAAACTCATCCGTGCCTACAACCGGATCAGAGAAGACATCGAGCAAGGCTTCTGCTGCCTCCACAACTTCACAGCCCACAGAGACTTCCAATCCTGCCCTTGTCCCGCCTTTCGGCACCATCACCATCGAGCCTCTGGCCGGAACTAAGACAGATGGAAGCTTGAAGACCACCAGTGTCACCTGGCTGTCTATCGACGTCCCAACCCGGACTACCATCAACGGAGACGTCATCACAACCAGCTTCCCTGCCTGGCGATGCATCTCGCTTGATCTCTGCAATCCAGATTGCCTTGTTCCTGATGAGATCTGCCTGCCTGCCCCCTCAGCCAACCCCCTCGGATACCCCTGGCCTGAGAAGCCTTCGAAGCCCCCGTCTTCGGTGAATGGAGTTACACTCCCTGAACACACTTCTACGAAGGGAGTTGCTATGCCTGGCGATCCTGGGTATGGAGGAGGCAGCGATGATGATGATGATGATGGCGACCATGGCGGCGATGATGATGACGATGATGGCGGCGGCGACGACGACGACCACGGAGGAGACGATGATGATGGCGGAGATGACGACCACGGCGGCGACGACGATGATGATGGAGGAGATGATGACCACGGGGGAGATGACGACGATCATGGAGGAGACGATGATCATGGAGGTGACGACGGCCATGGCAGCGATGACGATGACCGCGGGCATACAAGTGATGATGACGACGAGAACTCCCTCTTCGATTTCAGAATCGACCTCGGCATCGACATACTCAACAAAGCACGCAACATCCTTGGCCATGGCATGGATATTGGCTTCGGCACCAATAAACCAGCGGGCAAGACAGAGCCCGATGAGCCTGAGCCCTCCCAGTCCGAGAAGGAGACATCCACGTCCACCTCAACCTCATCCTGCACCCAGACATACACCATCGCCCCTCACTGCACTCAGCCATGCGTCGTCTCGCAGATTCGAAGCCAGGGAACGAGCAGCTTCACCACCAGTTGCGCGACAGCCACCTGCCGGACGACACAGCTCTGCACCAGCATCGAAACCACGACTACAACCACTTACACGACCAAGAAGCCCAAGCCCACCGCTGGCTGCATGGCCGGAAAGTGTCTTTCATGCCAAGATGACAACAAAAAGCTGGAAGCTCGGCAGGGCTGGTGGGACGAGGACATTCTCACCGAGACCATTTCCGAACCCGAAGAATGGCACGAAGGCGAGTACGAGTGGTGGGAGAAGATGCGCCGTGTCGCAAAGTACTACGGTCCCGGCCTAGCCATGGGAAGCAAGACCGGACACGACTCCTCGGCCTCCTGGGAAGCTTTCGGTCCCACCCCTCACGGCGGCGGCGCCGGTCCCGTCTGGGGCTGTACCATCATCGCCTCTTTTTCCCCCGAGGGCGTCTACGCCAACCACCTGTGGGAGATTCCCAACTTCAACATCCCCCCTGATGAAGAGAAGTACTTCAAGGTCGAGAAGGGTTACAGAGAGCCCTACTACTTTGAGCAGAATGTCAACCGCTTCCTCCAGTATGGCTCGCTCGATACGCCCAAGCAAAAGGAATATCCCGCGTTGTGCCCGATGAACCTCCCCGGCGGTCCCCTCTACGGCGACGACTACCAATTCTTCCGGACAATCATGTTTGTCCCCATCGAGACGACGGGCAAAATGTACTACGCTCACCAAAACTCCCTGATCATGTCGATTCTCACCGAGCAGTGCAAGATTGACAAGAAGTACATCACCATCTACGGGTACGAACCCAAAGAAGTGCTCGACAAGGACTTTCAGTACGATTTGGGCCGCGCCACCCCCCCTGCCGACCGCCGCGCCTCGAACCCCTGGGACGGCCTCTTCAGCTGGCAGTACACGCCCAAGGGCTCCAGCGGCAAGAAGGAGCTCGTGGTTCGCTTCGAGAAGAGTATCATCCACCGCGATGCCTGGTGTGGCGATGGACTTGTGACGCAGCCGGAGGCCCCCGTCCGGTTCGACCTCAGACCGAGTCCCCCTCGCGATCCGAACCAGGATACGACTCGTCCTTCTGCTAACGATTCTCCTCCCCCTTCCGACGACGAAGACACTCCTCGCCCGTCCGACACTGGCACCCCTCGTCCTCCCGCGAAGAAACTCAAACTCAGACAAGATGAAGGAACCTGCCCGCACATGATCGCCTGCGGTCTCGGCTCTCCCAAGCTGAGCGTCTGCGACTATAAGAAGTTCCCTCCCCCGCCCCTCGAAGGTCCCTCGCGCCTGAAGTCCCGAGCACCGCCTTCCAACGACCCCGCCAAGGGCCCGATTCAGGCGGAGCTCGATCTCGAATCAGAGACCATGATCGAGCCCGAAGACTCCATCGGCGGTGAACGGTGGTGGTACACCCGCATGCGCCACGCGGTTGACGAACGAGGCCCAGGCTACGGCGGCGTCACCAACGTCCCTGAGATCTGGTCCACGAGCTCCATGGTCAGATTCAACCAAGAGGTCGACGGCACGTACACGAACCGGCCGCGCTTCGGCGGCTCGGGACCCATCTGGGGCTGCACCGTCGTCGTCGTCGCGTCCCCGGCCGGCGTCTGGACCAGCCACATGTGGGAGATTCCCACCTTCAGCCTGGGCGCGGAGTTTGGCAGCGGCGACACGACGGAGTGGGCCAGGGTTTACCCAAAGTCGCAGATCGAGTACTTTGGCGAAGGCGTCGTGGACTTCCTCTCCTGGGGCAACAATCGCGGCTCCTACAGGCAGCTCAAGAACGGCAAAGTCCCCACGCGCAACCCGGGCTTCGTCGAGTTCGCGGCAAAGAACTCGGGCGAACCCTTTGATGTCAAGACCAAGACGTGGCTCTGGGCCGGCATCATCACCCGCGCTCACAAGGACATGAGGGGCCCTTCCTTGCAGTATCAGGACTCGGCGATGCGGACGGCGTACAGCTGGCAAGTGGAGCGGATTCAAAACATCTTGAGGCAGAAGCTGGGCATCAACGACAAGGACTTTGTCAAGATCATCACGTACGCGCCACGCCCGAACATGGCGCAGAGGAACCCCGACATGCAGCCCGAGTACGGCCTCGTCAACTGGCAGTATCACCCCTCGCACGTTGAGGAGGGCAAGAAGTACTCGGAGAGGAAGCTGCGCATCCGGTTCGAGAAGCACGTCATCTTTGAGAAGACGTGGTGCGGTTCCGGCAACAAGATCATCATCGCAGACGGATCCACCAAGCCGCCTCCGCCTCCGCCCCCGTCGAAGCACCGTCGACAGGAAGATGAAGGTGGTGAGGTTGAGGCCTGTCTGTTGGCGCATAACTCGTCGTCAGCTGCCGCTTCCGCGTCCTCCGTTGCTGCTTCGGCCGCCTCCGTGCTTCCGCGCCCCACGCAGGCTTGTACTGCCGACGCCGAGTGCGGCTCTCTTGCGTGCCCTCAACCCCGGTTCGGTGCCTGCCTGTATGGTGCCTGTCGATGTGTTCTCTCCGAGAGTCTCGGCTACACCAAGACTCCCGCCACTCCGGTGCCTGGGATGTACACAAACACCGCGCTGCCTGTGAACTACACGTCTCCGACAAACCTCATCACGTTGTCCACAGGCTCCTCTACAAGCAGCATCTCTTCTAACGGCTTTGCTTCAAGGACCTCCTGGACGGGCGATAACGACTGGTTATTCCCCACAGCCACCAAGAACGGTTCTTCTTCCACCGCCTCCGCGTTGTTCACCGTCACTCTCTCGGCCTGGGACCCCTCCCAGACCTCTATCATCGGCTGCAACACGACTCAGCACTGCTCCTCCCTCTCCTGCGGTAGTAACCAGACGTACGCTTGCATCACAAAGGGCGCGAACCCCAAGCCAACCTGCCGCTGCGTCAACCGCCCCAAGCTCTTCGAGCCCTGCGCCGCGGCAGCAGACTGCGAACACCTGAAATGTGACGCAAACCACTTCTCCACCTGTCGCCCGCTCATTAACTTCCCCGGAGCAGACTCCATCTGCCAATGCGAAGCCCTCGCCCTCAAGCCAGGCGCCTTCTGCACAGTCGACTCCCACTGCGACGGCCTCCCCTGCGACGGCACCAAGAACCGCCGCGGCAAGTGCATCAAGCCTACCTCAGACGACACCGGCGGCGTCGGCCTCTCGGGCGGCTGCCAGTGCGACTACTACCAGTCCGAAGGCGTCGGCTGCGCCTCGCACGACGACTGCTCCACGATCCGCTGCAACGAAGACAAGCCGTACAAGTCCTGCACCATCCCCGACGGGCCCCTTGACAAGGAAGCCAACTTCTGCGCCTGCGCCGCCGAGAACCCTCCCCGCCGTCTCGCCGAGGGCGACAAGTGTACCGCGCACAAGGAGTGCGCCACGATCGGGTGCACAGAGTACGAGGTCTCCGTCTGCGAGAAGGACACGTGCCGCTGTCGCTCCTTCATGTGCAGTGGCAGCCGGGACTGCGACTCGAGTGCGCTCGACTGTGCTGGCAAGGGGAATCTGCTTTGCGGTGAGAAGAGTATGTGCGAGTGTAAGCCCTGCACTGAGAACTGGAAGGGCTTGACGTGCCAGGTGGATGCGGATTGCAACCACTGCTGCAAGCGCGGGACCTTGCCCAAGTGCAAGTATACTCGCCTCGAGTTTTGGTCTGGTAATGAGTGTCAGTGTGATCTTTGGAATTAGATGGGGATCGTTTCTTGGAGGAGAGGAAGATGGCCTTTCTTTTTTTCCGGTTTACGGCCTCCCTGACTACTGGGGATTGTATCATACTGGAGGAAATGGAAATCTTGGAATGATGCCGAGACTACGCCCTTATGGCAACGATCGAGGTGACAAGTGAATGAGAAATTTCTCATCGACATGGTGGTTTGTGTTGGTTGCTATGAATTGTGAATACGCTGTGATATGTGGAGAAGTCTCCTCGTAGGCCGATAGCAGTGTTGCTTCAGGTTACTGATTGATTGTCAAGAAAAAGCAAGCTAATGATCTCGAAGCTACCGAACTCCAAGATACGGGCTTGGATTCAAAGGAGTGAGAACGGTTGGGCAACTTGGCCACATAGCATCACCGAGGCGGCTCCCGTTGTGAGTTCGGACAGCGTTCGTGGATCGTCGATTCGTCCAAGCTCGAATTGCCTCTCCAGCAAATGTAACATATGCCCAAAAAGTCTTTGTGAACTAATACGCTGGAGTCGCAATAGAGCAATAGGCTGAGCAGTCGGCACTGCGAAAAACGCAAGTCGACAAGACGGATAGTGTGGCTTCTCGAGATTTTCATGGAGATTTCAGAAATTTCAGATGCGACTTTGGATTGCGTTGATTTCTCTCCGACGCTGTTCATGATAGGATGGGACAGCCTTGTCTCTCATATAGGAAAAAACTTTTTGCATTTGAAAGCAATCCCATAAATTTGGAATTTTTTTGTTAATGTCTTGAATAAGGCGGGTGCTTTCAGACATTGTTAATATCAGGCCCCTTTAGAACCCGACTCTATTCGTCTAGACTTCACTCCAATCGCATTAGGAACAAGAGATTGGCACGCTCAGACAACAATGCTTCTGCAAAAATGCAAGTTCATGACCTGTGATCGTTCAATGTCTATATTACTATGAAAAGTCGTGAGCCGGGTTCGCCCCTTTGTAAGGGCATGTTCCCTCATCTGCAATTCCCAAACGCCATTGTCTGTGTTGTCATGACCCATAATTCATTCACAATAATCTCATCGCTAGCAATGTCTTGAATAAGGAAACATCCGCCTCCACTCCACTGTTGACGGGCCTCAGGGCTTCACGCCAGAGCTCGCCGCACTCTCACCAACCTGCACCTCCTCATCAGGCACGCCAACAGCAACACTGCTTGCGATGCTCATGGCCGTCAAAGACCGCTCCCTCTCGCCTCCGGGACGTCTGTTGGAGCCGGCTATACCAGCACCTCCGGTAGTGGTACCAACGCTGGTGGCATCCGCCACAGTCGCAGCCGCAGCGTTAGCACTGCTCGTACTCTCGCTCCGGTCCCGCCCAGCGGCGGCCGTCTTCTCCCTGACCATCTTCTCTAGATCTCGTATTCTCTGCTTCAGCACCTCGTTCTCCTGCTTGGCCTTCTCTAGTTCCTGTCGGTGCAACGCCGTCTCCTCATACCGCGACGTCGTGGGCATCAGGCCAGGCGAGAGCTGCGCCTCGCTGCCGCCGGGGGTGGCAGCGACCGAGGTGCCACCAGTATGCTGCTGCGGCAGGCGCTGCTGCTGGAAATATGTCAGGCCGCTGGTGCTGGTCGGGTCCAGGTAGTGTTGCGATGGCGCCGGCGAGGACGATAGGCTATGGCGGGAGGCCACGCTGTCTTGGCGGCCGGGGTGCGAGGGCCGGGCGATTGGGATGGACGTGGTGGACACGGCGGCTGAGCCCGCGACGGCGGTCTGGCTTCGGGTGCTGGCGTTGGACGCCGTACGGTGGTGCCGGCGGGAGCTGTTAGACGGGACAGCTGGGGTGGAGAAAGCGGCGCCGGAGAGGAGGTGGGTGTCGGGTGCTTCGGTCGTGTTGGAGGCTGATGTGGAAGAGGCGTTGGATGCCACGGAGGCGTTCTGCGCTGTTCGAAGAAGTTGGAGCTCTCGTGTAAGGCGGTTCACCTATCACTCGTGATTAGCCTTTGGTATTCCTGGAGCGTGTAAGTCTGCCTGACGTACCACTGCCTCTTGCTCTTTCTCCAACTGCATGTGAAGATCGGACGCGGTGATGGGTCGCGGGTGACGGATGGGGCCTGGGCCGGAGACAGAGGGCTCAGGGAAGGCTGGCGGCGACGCTGCTACTGCTGGAGCCATCGGTGGAGATCCTACGGGAGGGTTGGAAGGCGGATGGTTGACTGTGTTCTGGTTCGACGGGAGGATGTTGAGGACAGAGGAGTCGGAAGATTGCGCTGGAAGTGGAGGAGGCGGCATCTGGTGAGAGGAAGAGCGCCGCGAGGCGCTAGGAGGATGTGGCGAGGCCGGAACAGAGTTGAGGTCGGGCATCGTGGTTGAAGGTGAGGTTGGTGATGTTTGTGATGGGTGTTGCTGGAATTCAACCGCTGATGCGAGAATGAAGCTTTTGTCCGGGTCAGGAGTTGTGTGATAATAGCTGCGATATAGCTCAAACGCGTAGTTGTTTGTTGCTTTGTTTGGTGGTCGCGGTCAACACGTCCTGGGTCGTCCAATCTCGCAACAGGCTGTTTGTTTGTCTGGGTTGCTTGGGTTTGGAGCTCCGTCATGCTTCATGCTCCCATTCATGCGTCGTTGCCCCACAGGCGGCCCCGCGATAAGGTGAGGTCCAGCCACAACCCCGCTTCTGCCACATTGGTGAAAGCCACCAACTTAGCCCCAGCCACAATGTTCAGTTACCTAGGTATCTTATCAGCCCATATCTAATCTTATCGACAACGGAATCTCAGTTTATCCTTGGCCGAGGACATGGGTCTCATCGGCTGCCGTTGTCCCGTCCCAGTGACGCACGCCCCGCATGTCCTTCCCTCTCCCTGTCACACTCAACTCTCACAACCGCCCCCGATCTACCACCACTGCGATCCGACGTTGTATTTCCGTGCGTGGTGCAAACTCTATGCGGCCCGGGTGTTACAGTTGAAATCCCATCTACCGCGAATAGCCTTACCGACGACAACATGCGTTCCCAGAATGCACATGTTCGACTTCTGTGCGAATCCGACGTCTCCGCCATCATCACATCAGCTCGAGACGGCTACCGACACATGCCTTCGACAACAACGACCAAGATGGAGGGCAAAACTTAGCATGGCAACCCTCAACGCCGCCTAGTTCGAATTTGAGAGTTCTGTGTTACAAGCTCTACTACCACTACCAGAACCACCGCCACCAACACAACACAACACCACCACCACACCAGAGGACAAATGTTCCAGCGCCACACTCAGCCATCTGTCTGCCTGCCGGCCTGAACTCTCTGGTGGAGAAGACTTCTGACATCCTGGATCCGACTGCAATAACGGCATTACCCCTACACTTACTGTGGACGAAACACGGAGACGGAGTTGATAACGGAGCCCTTTCCACCGTTTTCTCGCAGATCACCCGCCGTTTCGCCAAGTGTGGCTGCTTTCCTAGCGTCGGCGCCACACTGTTCCCCGCAGCTGCCCCGCTCCTGACGTTGCATGGGCCAAGTGCCCCTTGCGACTCCGTTCTCACCCCCTGACGACGGCACAGACGGCTGGATGGTTGGACGACCATGCAAAGAGATGCCATTCACCTTCGGCGCTTTTCCTCCGGACGTCTCGGGTATGCCACGCGTCCCCTGTCGACAGAGCTTCCTCCCTCCCCAGCGCCTCTCCCCGTCACTCATTGTCCGTTTCGAGCGGGCAGTTTGGTCATAGCTCCAGCGATGATCTCACCTCTGGGCAGCCTCTTTCGCTTCAGTCGGAAAGGATGTCGGTTAACGATAGCGTTTGTGCAACGGTCGACACATAACGCTAATCAAAGTCGCTCAACGCTTGCGACTTTTACCGGTCACACAATCCCAGTGTTCTGGCACAGTTGTCTTACCAGACGTCGTCCGAACCGAGTCTACCTTACCGGTATTGCCTTTTGGAGCTGCACCCACCCAGCGACCACTCTTCCCGCCAAGCTTGGCCTTCCCGCCATAATGTGCCCAAATATGATCGATCCCGCGGGTACGACGCGGCGGCGGCGAGAAGCGGTACGGGACACGACTCAAAAATATGGAGCAGAATCTCTGCCATCGGTCTAGATCATTGCGGGTCATCCGTTGAGCACAGGAGTACCGTCCTTCTGGCCCAGCCGCGGTGCCTCTTCCGTTCCCCTGGGGAGGGGGTGGCCTGCGATCGCCCGCTGTCAACATCGTGAGGAACTCGCAAAAAACAGGTTTTATCCCCTGCACCTGCTTCCGCCCGGTGGACACCTGATGAGGCTGAATTGTTTCATCATTGGACCTCGACCGCATTGGCACTTCACTCTTACTGCATTGTGATGCTGCACTCGGCCGACTTCGCGGGATCGGGTACCGTGAATGGGCATTGGGCAGGCGCGGTTTGCCATCCTCGTGATGTCGATGATGCGGGAGCGCACGCATCGGGTACGAGCACCGCATATTGACCGGGACCTCACCAGCCACATCTTGAGGATACTCACCGGTGACTGGCGCTCTCACCATGGCCGACGGGTGCGAATCCTCGCATATTCGTTCACGGGCATGATACGAGACTCGCCAGACTGCAGGTCGCCGGATTGGATCACGGCCCCTGCTAGTCAAGACGCCCTTTGCCGTTCACTCTAATGAATGCCAAAGCTCACTTGACGTGAAACTCGACGGAGATGTGAAGAATAACGTAACAGACAATACTCTGACAGGTGTTCGCCGTTGTCTGTTCAAGTTCTACTTCGATGAACCAAACGTTTTGGCCAGCTTTCCGAATATTGCTAAGTTTCTATTGCGGTTTCAAGCATTTGTTTCCAAAGAGTGGGTTCATCAAAATCTCATTTAGGCGGCTAAAATTACACTGGGGACCAGATCGTGTCCGCCGCTAAGTCTGACGAACACGATTCGCTGTGGGACGGATTGGCACACCGACAGACACTCCGCTATCCGAAAACAAAACCGTCTTCTGAACGGAGACTAGCAAGCAAACACACATGAAGTGATCTCGCGTTCTGTAAGAATGAACAAAGAAAACTCGTTAACAAAAATTCCATTCCCGCTTACGCCTCTCCCTCTCTGCAGAAAGCTTTTCGCCTTTATGCCGTTAAAATTTGTGGTATGTTGAAACATTTCGATCGTAATGACTGATTTCGATGCTGGACACTCCCGCCTCTGCTGTCGAAGAGCAGGGGGAGTGCTTGTCGTGGTGGACGCGACTACCCATCTCTACATCATGTCGCTATGCAGTTAGCCTTGTGGACAAGGAATCCGAATCTTTTCCGAACGCAAAGATGACGTAAAGAGAATGCCCAGAGCGTTGAGCGGCCCTTGTTGATTTCGGGTCTGTGGTGTTGTCGACATGTTTTTTTACATTGATCTAGGGAGAAACCGTCGCGGTCAGTCTCTCCTAAACCGCTTTCGCTCGGGCCTGATGGCCGAGGGGTACACTGATGGCGCATCGAAAAAAAAAACGGTCGACGGACTGCGCGCGAACTTTCGTACGACTGCCTCGCCGGCCAAGATGCACCACCGAGCCTCGGCTCAAAGGATTTTGTGGAGGTGTTTGTGTGTGGGATAGGGAACAACCGTTTCCTATCCTCTCCCACAGTTTGCCAGCTCTTGTGGAAAAACAAAGGAAAAACAACGGAGACTGGACTTGAGAAGTGTTCTGGCTGACTCGCCGCTGAGAACACTGCCCTCCCAGCGAGGACCGATAATTGGTCCCCACACGGAAAACGGTGATCGCATTACATGACAAAGTTCGACAGAAGGTAGAAGCGCAGTGGGCAGCAAATGCAGAAAATCTGAATCGCGGACAGCACTTGCAAATTTGGGGTAACAAAGCATTGACCAACAAGAAGAGAGGGAAAAGATCCGGAGAAGAGACACAATCAATCGTGAACAGAGGGAAAAGAGGGAATACTCACAGCAATGCCAGCGTCAAATCACCGTGGATCTTGGCCTTGAGCGTAATCTCAATATCCAAGTTCAGGTCAAGCCTTAGCTTGAGCGGGTTCTTGCCCGCGCCACCGCCGCCGCCCTGCATCTGCTGCTGCTGCTGTTGCTGCATCATCATCTGCTGTTGTTGCTGCTGCTGCATCTGCTGCTGGCGCTGGCGCTGCATCATCTGCTGGTTCTGGTTGCCGCCCTTTTGCGCGGTCGTGTAGTTGCCGCCGTCGTCCTCCTCTTCCTCCTCTTGGGAGTCGTAGTCCTCGTCGTCGTCGTACTCCCCTTCGTCTTGCGAGTCGCCAGAGTAATACTCGTCGTCGTCGTAGACCTCAACGTCCTCGCCTTCTTCAAACTCTTCGTCGTCGTCGTAGTACTCGCCCTCAGCGCCCTCTTCGCCCTCGGCGTAGTCTTCCTCGCCGTCCTGGAGTTCAGTGGGCTCCTCGAGGTCAGCTTCTCGTTCTGTGCGGCCAGAGTCGCGGGAGCGTACCTTTGCGGGCTCTGCTTGCTCCTGCTCCTTGCCTGCTGCGGGCTTCTTGTCGTTGTCGACGATGGACTCTGGCTCCGCTTCGTCTTCGACGCCGGCCTGGTTTGCTGAGGCTTGCTTCTTGTCCGTGGTCTCTTGGCCTACGGGCTTCTGCTCTTCCGTCTCAGGCTTGTCTTTTGACTGCGTGTCGGCGCCAGCAGCAGCGTCTTCGGGCTTCACGTCGTCGCCGGGCTTCTTCTCATCTTCTTGTGTCTTGTCGTCCGTCTTGGCAGCCGCGTCTTCGGGCTTGCTGCTGTCTACTTCGGCCTTCTTCTCATCGGTGCTGGTGGGGTTCCCCTCGCCCTCTGCGGGGTTACCAAATTCCCCGACCGGTGTGGTACCCTCGGGCTTCTGCTCTTCCGTCTTTTGGTCTAGGGAAGACTGCTGCTGCTGCTCCTCGGGCTTGGCCTCCTCAGGCTTGCTGCTATTGCCCGGCTGGTTCTGGTTACCGGCGGCGCCTTGGCCTTGGCCCTTCTACGCTCCCGTAATCAATACCGTGACTTACAGTGAGTTTGTGTTGTAGTTGATGAAGCTTACCTTGTTCTTGTTTCTGGCCATTGTGTCCGAGTCCATTAATCTGACGGGGTGGGTTTGTTGGTATGTGGAAGTGAGAACCTCTCAATTGCCTTCAGTGAGAATTCTCGAGTGAAGCTATTCAGATGGCTATGAGTTGAGTTTGGTGGTCGCGGTGCAGTAGGCGTTTAGGTCAATGTGTGTGTAGGTATCTCCCCCTCCAAAAAATGAAAAGAGATCAGAGTGAGTTTATTCAATGAATATGGGGATCTTTCAAAATTGGATAGAAAAAAAGGTCCTCTAGAAGGGTGGGAAAAGCTAGGTACGCAGGTTGGTATAAGTTAAATCGGATTGCCATGAGAATTACCTTGACAAAACCCGGGAACATCATTACCTCACACCCCTCCCCCCTCAATGCCATCAAACAGGAATTCTGCACAGGGACAGCGAGGCTGAACCCGAACCGCAATCCGGATCTTCACCTCTTGTGACGCAATAGGGTGTGAGTATGGGAACCATGGGCTTACACACGCCTATGCAGTACACGGGGATGGGGGAAGGGGGACCCGGTGAACAGGCAACGTTGGCAAAAAGGGGACCCAGCAGAAAGTTGGTCAAAGAAAAAAAAAAAAAAAGTGGCATGGGCGGGAATCAGAGAGGCAACGGGTTACAATCGAATAGGTCTGGACCTTCGTGAGACCCAGAATGGCCTCTGACTTCTGAGGCGGAGAATGTCACTGTTGGCAGATAATACTGGGGAAACGGTACAAGGAGGGACGTGTACCTTCTGACAAAGACGTGTAGACTTGGGCCCGCCGCTGTGATATCACATTCGACACAGGTTCTGGATGAGAATCAAGATTTTCTGGTTCTTCTGCTTAAGGGGGAGTAGCGGCTATCCGAACTCCCTCACCTATGGTAAAGCACAGCTCACCGTATGCTGGTAGGAGAAGAGCAGCGAGCAGGCAAGTAGGCGAGCTAACTGCAGCCAACCCGTCCTTCCCGATCGACAGGGTCCCTAGACACAGGAAGAGGGGGGCGTGTAAGTGTTCCTTCGGCATAAGGCAAGCGAGCTGTCTGGCAATAACGGTAGACAAGCACCAGCAACAGCTAGGTACGGGAGAGAGAAAGAGAGGGAAAAAAGATCAAGAGTGACGTCGACGGGCTGGGACCCGAAAGACGTGCCCGGACCGTGGTTGGTCGAAACTCAGCATTCCGCTGCGTTGCGAGCAAAGAGCTTCGGGAGCTACCCCGGTCGATCATGTTCGAAAAGTCTACGAACCTAGCGTGACTGGAGGAGGAGGAGGGATCTGAAGTCAAAGCAGACTAAGCCCGAGTGTAATCATCTCGAGAGAATGACGTCGATGGGGTGTGAATGTAAAGAGTTTAAAGAGGATTCGTAAAATGTATCAAAGTATCGGACCGCAAAAAAAGAAATGGAGTACGCAGAGAACAGCGAACGGTCTAGACATGCATATTGTGGACCACACCAAAACGTGAGCATTGGGTGTGGGCTGACCCCAGACAGGGGTACCCGAAACGGGCATCTCGATCCAGAATGACTTCCACTGCTCTTCTCATCCAGGCGCTGGGTGCATGTGGCCCGCTACCCGCAGACTTTTGCGAGGAAGCGCGAGAGAGTGAGAAAGGAGAGGGATATTCGATGCCTGACCGTACCGTGCCGTGACCGCTAGACCAACCAGCCCAGACCTGCCACGCCTGCCAGCCACTCCTCGCCGTGAAGAGAAGGAGAGGAGACGCGAGGCACAGGGCGTGTATGAGCCTTTCGATATCATGACCACACGAACCCCATAGAACAAACCCCATAAACCTGTTTCTTTTGAAAATCCATCAAAGAAGGTCCCTCGGAAGCCCTCTGAGACAGTGACATTCCAGTATCGATCTTCAGGACTCAAGCAACAAGAGGGTAGCTCGGCCCCGAACCACGCCGCAACGATCATTGCAAATCCGTTGATCCATACCACGCGCCCAGCGGTTAGACCCCACGGCTTGGGCCAACTTGACATTTCCGAGTCCCGACACGAAGCAGGCCTCGAGTTGTGAATAGGCAGCGAGCGGCCAGGCTCCCAAGAACTTTGACTCCCTCGACTTCAACTCACTTGAGCTCGTCCCAGTGTCCACTCTCACTCGAAAAGGCCAACGTCTCCCACCGCCCACAGTCACTCACCCGGACTTTCGTCCCTTGATTCCCACTTTACCCTTCCTGCGTTGTTAGTCGTCCGCCTCGGAAAACAAGTTCGAAACATGGTTATCGGTCTGCTCGCCATCGCCGCCATACCCACAGTCATCGGCACTGGTCAGGCCGTGAGCGCCCAGAAGAAGCAGAATGCCGCTGCCAAAGAACAGGCCAAGTTCAGCCTCACGGCGACCATGACACTTGACGGCAAGCAAGAAGAGTGCCCATGTATCGTCGTCGACAACAAGGTGAGCAAACCCCACAAACCAACAGCCAACAGCCCACACCCAACGCGCTTCACACTCCCGCCCCCTTCCCTCTCGATCGCCCATCGACCCCCCTTCCCGCGTCTGCAGACATCTGCACGCTCTTTCTCTTTTCCTTGCTTTCCTCTTTTCCCCGTTACCCTATGCGGAGGTTGGCACACCCACTCGGCCAACCTCGCCGCGTGTTTTGACTTACACTAGCTTCCTCGCCAACTTGAAAAACTTTGCTACGCACCTCAGTTGGACTAACGCACACATCCTCCCCTCGCAGATATGGATAAGTCATAGTCTGGCACCAGCTCCAGGGCACAAGTTTTCAGGGTATTACTTCAACTACCCCAGCGAACCACCAATGCGGGCCTTAGTATCAACGATAGCGGAAGACCCGCCCATGCTGAACTGGATTTATGTCGACGCCGACAGCAGAGCACTCCGCCACGGGGGCCGCAAAGATACCCTAGGACATGTTATAGGACCTTGGGGCTGGACTGATGATGAGAGGCACCTCACACTCAGAGGTAGCGGGCTCGGCTTCGTGGCCGTACTGGAGGAGGACGGCAGGTGGGCTGCATATTGGGATCCGGATGGGCGGTTGCGGGAGGGCTATGATCCCGAGGACTGTATGGAGATAGCTCTCAGGCGGCAGATGGCGCTAGGCATTGAAAGCGCCTACGTGAAAGGTTAGGCGAGCCAGATCATCTCGAAGGATAAAGTGTGTGTCAAATTTTGGAATAATCCGGGGGGATTCCAGGAGTCTCGGCAGCTTTGGGAGGGACGTGCAAATAGAACAGGTCCCGCGGCGTTCTGCAGCTTGCAAGGATAGGAACGGTTGGCATCTGTAACCTGTGAGCCCGTACATCGTCAGTGCATAGCATTCAGCAAGCTTGCAAGCTCAAACCAACTTACAAGAAGCTTGTTTGGTTGCAGGAATAGAGTAATGCTGCGTCATGCCTGCATTGGCGGCACCAGTGATCGCAAGTCCGTGGTGGGAGTCTGATAGTGCATGATTGGGTGCAATCCAGCGAAAGGTGCGCGTCGAATCCGAAAAGGAACAGGGATGGCAGACACCATCTCGACCTCTTTGGTGTTTTTGGGAGCGCCGGCATGTGTTGGGCTGGGTTGGCCGCGCTTCCTCCTCGACGGCACAGGCAGATCGGGGACGTATCGAGCATGAGACAAGACCAATGCCCCAGCGGCCCCAGTGAATCCGCCCCCCCTCCCCTCCGCACGCATGCTGCTTGGCCCTCTTCAACGTCATTTCGGTCCAGAACATCGAGAGAGTCGAGTGGTGTGACGCAAATCTAGAAGGGGTGAGAGCAGTGAAAGATGGGAATCCTGGATGCCCCAGGGTCCAACATGATCTCATCAGCTGGAAAGGGTGTAAGCTTTTACATCCTGTTTTGACCCCTTCCGGATACTGTCCGGAATCACTTATATGTTGCGTCCTCATCCAGAGTCGACGGGCAGGAACAGACTTTGAAGAGACACTCCAAACTTACCGGTAGACAAAAAGCTCTTAATATCAGTTCTCCCTTCCTCCACACCAGGAAAAGTCCACTAGCCCATCTTTCAACCATCAAATTCACCACCTCTCATCAGTCACAATGGCCTCCCCCCGCGAGAAGAACAACACCAAGTACGCCTCCGAAGATGAGACCTCGGAAGCACCCAGCGAGCAGCAGAAGCCTCAGCGCCGTCAGCGCCCCCAACGCAGGCAGATGCAGAGACGCCAGCAGCAACAATCAAGCGGGCCTCTCGACAACCTCGGTGGCATTGGTGATGTCGGCGGCGTCACCAACGGTGTGCAGAACACACTAGGCAACGTTGCTGGTGGTGCGCTGCAACAGCAAGGCGGCGGTGGTGGTGACAAGAGCGACACTCTTCGGTTGCGCCTTGATCTCAACCTCGACATTGAAATTACGCTGAAGGCACGCATCCACGGTGACCTCGAGCTGGCTCTCTTGTAAGTACCACTCATTTTCTCTGTCTCCCCCCCCCCCCCCACCCTCTACAGTTACGGCCCTTCCTCTTGTCTGCGCTAGGTAGAGCTCCGATCCGTCCTCGCTTCTTACTCGCAGGCAAGCACGGGCTAGTTAGTAGCTTGTAGCCAAGTTCAAGATGGGCTAATGGGCTTTACCTCGTCTTTTAATCAGGAACTGAGAGACGTTTTCCACAGGGACCAATCTTAAAACGACAATCTTATCGTCGAATTTCTTTACAACATGGAGTCGCGGCTTTGAACAGTGGGCGAAATGCTTTTCGACCCAGTCTGATGGAATGTGTGGGTTTCTTTTTTTGTCGCCCGTTTTCACAGCCCAACCGTAAAAAGAAACGGTTGGGCCAGCAAGGGTTCGAGGAGTTGGTGGACGGATGGGATATTGGGATCCATCTGCCGCGTGTATTATGAAAGATTTGTGCATCATCGACATCATGAGATACGGACGCTATTTCGGGAAGTTTTATGGGTATCCTATTCGACGTTAGCCAAAGCATTCTAAACAGTTCTTTTAACGAATGATACTTGACTAAGACCAATCACATACTGAGATGCTGTAGTGTCCGCTGAGAAGCTTCTACTCATGTGCTCCCCCCTCCCCTCACCTCACTCACTCATCTCTCAGTAAGCTGCCACTCACTCATACTCATAGACACCTACAAGGCCTGAGTATGCCAATGATTTCAAGCCTCGATATGGCTGCGAATCAACTCTGTTGATAGACTTAGCGCGTGTCGTTGGTTTCAGCACACCATCAATGCCCTCAGCCACCCGCTAACTGCCAAGCTCGTGTGGAGTAGCGTCGAAAAAAACAGGCAGAGCCATGTGTTGTGACATCCGCCGTCAAGCACGCCAAGGGGCGGAGACGGTGGCCAGCAACCGTTCGTAGCGCCAATTTCCATTAGCCTCCGTCTGTTTCACGCTTCACGTCTGGCGCCGTTGATCTCGGTGACGGGGCAAATCTCCAATGCGACGGTGGGGTGCTCTCCACCCACCCAACCAGCACAATCAACAGTGTGGTTGCCCATTCCTTCCAGAGGCTAGTGTCATCGGGAGCGAATTACGAAGACGTGGGACTATCGGCTGGAGGACCTGGAAGAAGTGGCTGGATACGCAATTGGAAAGCGACGGCGCCAGAGACTACTGCAGACAATGCTCGCTGTGCCTTGCTTTCCATGCGTCGTTTCTCCTGGGCTTAACTAGCGTTAGTTTGTTCTGCCCATAGACAACGCATTCAAGATTTCAATGTTCTGACGGGATCATGCTGGGATCCTGACTTCATTTCGCGTCGTCAAAAGTGCTCACCGAGACATGGACAGAGAGAACAGGAAAAAGGAAGGAAAAATCCTTAGAGTTTGACCGGTCGATGTCAATGGTCAAGCCACAGAACGGCTTCGGCCTTCCCTGGTCGTCCAATGTTAACGCAGCGCAGCAGCCACATGATGCGATGTAACGCCTAGGATTGAGTTGGTGTGTGAGTGAGTCGTCTTTTTTGGTTGCCCGCCGCCAAATGTAACGGTGGAACGGTCCCCCCTCCCCAAGTCTCCCCACCGCTCCTCAATTCTCAATGCCACCTCATATCCGTAAGAAGGCCCGGTAAACGGTATCCACAGTACCGTTTCGACTCTGTGTGGCGGAGGTGTTCGCAATCGTACGGAGACGGTCGAAAAACGCTAGGTGTGCAGGGTAACCGTGGCTGAACGGGAAATTTTTGCGTCGCATCCCGGCACACTGGGTGGGAGCATCAGCCACTCACGTTCAACGTCGTCCTGGTCGCTTTGAAAATGTCAGCCAAGCGATCTTCACCAGTCTTAATCGTCAAGCCACCTGCCGACAAACGTATCGCGCCGATCGTACTGCCTCCGTCTCATTTCCAACGGTCTGGACTCTGGTCGACTTTCTTCTTCTTCGCCTCTTTGCATCTCATTGCCTCTTCAGGCTACCATCGAGATCATCCTTCGCCAGCCTTTGTCGGTTGTGGCGTTGATGGCACGCGGCCTTCGTCCATTGACAAACTCGAGACGTCTCTGAAGGTCTGCTGAAGCTGTTCGGGCATGAGGACCAACCCGAACTTCTGATGAAGCTGATTCCTTCCACCCAGTGCCCCTTTGAACAATTATGAGCCACATCTGAACTCTGAGTGTCTCGGCTGGGTCAATGTCCAAGACCTTCTCCAGGGTCTGTGGTCGGTGTGTGGCCGGCAAGCTCGAAGCTTCCTGTGGGTCAACTGAGTACCCCCGGACTGCCATCCAACTCAGCTGAAATAGCGTCGACGCACGTGTGTGAATGTCCAGGCTCATGCTCGCTCACCATGCTCTTCAGCAACAGTTGACGGCTAGCCGTGCGTTCCGTCTGTACAGTAGCTCAGGCGCCAGCCTAACCATTCAGCACCACGGCCGTTCGCACAGTCGTTCGTGTTTCGAAGGAAAACAGGCTTTTCCAGACCTTGTCGGACCTTTTGCTTCCAATCTCAGTGCTCTTCCGGCGCCATCTTCGGAGTCTTGCCTCGTTCCCATTCTGCCATCTTCACCACCCGCCAGCGATCCCTCCCTCTCTTGCTTCTTTGCATGCCGTTTCTGAAGTACCCGGTGGAGACATTTGCGTGTATCTGGAGACACAGTGGAGTCAACAGATCTCGGTTCGACGAGTCCTTGAACAGTCCCATCCTTGCACAGCAAGCCTGACAAGGAGTGAACGTGAACCGTCGCCCCGTTCGCCAGTTCTGGAACCCCAAGGCTGCCCCAGTTGTCAGTCTCGGCAGACACAAGACAGAACCCACTCTCGATCTCATCGTCGACCTGACGTCACAACGACTCAGCCAACCCCCTTCTGCCTTGCACGTCTTGCAGAACCGCTGCCCGCGCCCCGCGAGCAATCAGAAAACCTCTGCCCGCGTGTATCGACCAAGGGGTGCACCGAGAGAAACGCACTCACGCGCACTCGACAGCAAGACCGAACACCGTCCCTCCTCACACCTCACACACTCTCACTCTCTCTCAAGCGCCGCCCAGACTCTCTGAAGCAAGCAAGCAAGCTGGTCGGTCGATCGATCCTCAGGTGGGTTGCCGGCTCTCCATTCCTTCACACAGCTGGCGGTCCTGGCCTCGCTTCCCTTCCCTCCCCTTTCCCCTCTCTTTGACAGCAAGGCTTAGCTGACGCAGAACGTTCTTCTTCTCCCGCAGAATCATCCAATGATGACGGCGTCCCCTCCTGCTCAGCAGACTCCACTCCAAACTCTCCGCGACGAACCCGACAGCCCTGCCTCGAAGCCGCCTGCACAGCAATCTATGCAAAGTCCCGTACCTGCGCGCCCGGAATCCTCGTCGCATACTATGCACCATACCGAGCCACGACCTGCGGCTGGAGCCGGCGATCATGATCCTACTTCCCGGCACGATGAGTATGAGGTTGTCGAGGTCGAGGATGGACAGGCTGGGGCGGAAGAGGCCCCCAAAGCCACCTTCTCACGCCCGCCTCTGCCTCGTCTGAACTCACAGTCGCGGGCAGCTTCCTCGCCGGCGCCTTTCCATGAAACCAACCCTCCGCAGTATCCTCATCGACAGGTTAGCTACACGACCACCCCACAACCGGAGCAGGGCGGGCCTGTCCACCTGCAGGGCTCGCGGGAGATACCTATCCCAATGAGGCCATCGTCGACACAATACCAAACGGGTCCCGAAGCATCAACACCGCCGACAACCGAGACCACAGACAATGGCACAGACGAAGGCTCGCAAGATGCCAAATCATCTTCGCAAGGCACCACCCCGAAGCCACGAGAGAAAAATGCCCCGATCGCGATCCCAAAGGTCACGCCTCTATCTTCAGACCTTAGGTTGCCCCCAAACCTTGCTGAGCTAGCGCAAGGTCTGGATGGCAAGTACGTCGATGAGTTTGGAAACATTCTGGACTGGAACGGTCAAGTGCTTGGACGTGTCGAAGGTGACCTGCCGTCCATGATCGGACGGCCAGTCTCAGTAACGGGCGAGATCTTCAGCGAAGACGGCGAGGTGGTCGGTTACGTAGCGGAGAACGATACCATCCCACCAACGCCACCGTCTCCTAAGCCCATTGAAGGCATGGGAGACGGACTGAAGGTGGACCATATGGGGAACATCCTCGACAAGAACAACAACGTCGTCGGTCATTTCGACGGCGCGCCTCTGGCAAAGTCTGTTCAGCAGACAGGCCAGCCGAGTAGCTCAGGCCAGTCCAGCAATCCTCGACCTGGTTACATGCCCGACACGCATACTAGCTGCCCTCAATGTACTGCACATCGACAGTCTAAGCCATCAGCTGATACTCCCAGCCCGTCCGAGATATTCATGGACGTTAAGTCAACCAATGATGGTATTCAGCTCATTATCAAGATCCCAACTGTATTTCAGGGTGGTGGGAATCCCAATATCCATATAGGAACCAGATGAGCCATGTAATGGGATTTGCGTATTTTGGATGGATTGTTGATCTTCAGGAGTTCTGGAACCAACGGTAGATGCTAGCATGCGGCGGCGTTCAGACGGTAGTGAGATGGACATAGGCTAGGATTTGAATTGCAGTTGCCATCCATACAGAACTTGGCAACGAACCGTTTGCACAAGCTTGTGGCTCCGAGACCCGTTACCTGACCCGTTGTGTGAGGCTGAAAAGGAGAGCAAGGGCGCGACTTTCGGATGCTTGCGGGCGCATAGACGCGGATGGTGATTTGGGAACTTGCAGAACGTGGCGAATGGAAGTTGATTTTTCGTGTTTCGAACAGCGTCATGACGTCCGTCGTGCATGCGAGTCCAGCCTTCATGAACTTCGCAATCCGCATTTTGGAAAAGAAAGTTGTTGGAGGTGACCGGGGGGACTGACTGTGGAGGAACTGACGAATGAATGATGCAGGGCAGGGAGACCCCCGGGAAGCACTAGCCACACCAACTGAGCGTCTCCAAGAAAGGTGGCCGTCGATCGATCAGGAAGCCAATGGTAATTCCCCAGACTGGCTGGCTGTCACACCATACCCCAAGGTGCATCTCCCCTTCTCAAGTAGAGTTGCGTCATGAT